TATTATATATACATATATATACACATTGTGATTCATTTGATATAATCTTAGGGATTTTTCTTTTTCAAAGGATGAAAATTACAAGAGAAATTTCAACTTACTTTTCAATACAGGTGGATTAAAGTCTTCTAAATGAACTTCCAGACAACTGCAGTAATGGTTTAGCCGCAAACACAGACAATGTATTCACTGAAGAGGACAAATAGAATAACGTACTCTCCAGATACTCAGTTGACATTTCGACCTCAAAGAAATAGTTCCATTCTTCAGGGTGTCATAAAGAGATTTCATGATAAACTTAGTATGAATTTAGAGTTGTTGTTGCTGTTAGCGATCTAGTAGCATTTGAGCATTAACTCTTCTGCAGGATGCCATTCGGTAATAGCTGCATGTCTGTTCTAATTGTTGTCTTGAGGAGTAGAGGCAATTGATGTGTGGGGTAGCTTGGGAAGAAAACATCCCCTCAAATCGGTTAGTTTTCTACAGAAGAACAGATGATGTTCCACAGTCTCTGAGGGGTAGTCACATAGTGGGCAGGCAGCAGACTGCTTTACTCCAATTCGGTTGAGATGTTGATTGAGAAGCACATGTTGTGTACTAAGTTGGAAGATTATGGATTGATCTCCCCTTCTCAACTCATTGACTTGATCTTTTACCAGTGGTTTATTCATGTGGCCATACATCATCCTTCCTGTCATACCTGTGGCCCATGCGTTTATCCAGTCTTCCTTGAGGTTTGACTTGATCATTTGGCAGCAGGTGGTGTAATCAGTAGGATAAAGTTAGAGTAAATGTGAGGCAGCGTGGTTTAATCAGGCTCTCGTCAAAATAATCAAAATGAAGAAACTTGCATTTTTCCCCAGGTTTGTGGATTTTTATCAAATTTTGGTGGGTTTTTTTGGCTCAACATCTTTCATGGCCTTTAAAGAACTCATTTTTGTGTGGATTTTTCTGAAAACGGTTGATTAAAGGCACAAAACATGTTTTCAGTTATCACGGACTCTTAAGCTAAGGAAATAACTAATCTTTGGCAGCCATTTTCTCACCAATTTTACCTCTGAAAACAGGTAACCCCCACCTCCTTCATTAACAAATATCTCGACTTGTATTCAAGATAAATGAATTTATTTTTCATCCACAAAAAGACAAGTGAACAAGCTATAAGGTGATACCAATAACACTACATGCCCAAAAATTGACGAGAGCCTGATTCCACCACGCTGCCTCACAAATAACAAAAATAATATACAAAAAATGAAACATCGAAAAGGGGAGGTCACGTGATGAATGACGTTTTTGTCCAGACGAGACCATCAATGGTTTATTTATGGATCTAGACGCTGTTTTGTTTTGTTTAGAATAGACAGGTAAAAACATCGAAGGGCATCGTAGCCATGTTTGCATACCCCCAAGTGTCAAGAGAACACAGAGAGTAAATAACTTCAATAATTTATCAAAAGATAAAAGATAAAAAGAGGAGGTCACGTGATATACACGATTTTTGGTTTGCTTAGAACAGATAGACACAAAACAAACAACGAAAGGTCATCGATTGGGGTCGCAGCTTGTTCAGCTTTGAACTTTTACAGCCAAGTCCCTGACCTCCAACTCTCTCTCTCTCTCTCTCTCT